CAATAGCACTAATCGAAAGCTTTTGCAAAGTCTGTGTACACTACATTTGCATTTTGTCAGGCTTCCAATGAGTTCAAGACCTCGTTGTAATGGTCCAGCAACTGCGAGACGTAGGAATTAGTAAGTAAGTAAGTTTATTCAGGTATACACAAATACAGTTACATAGAATTATCATACATAGCAGCATATGTGTAGAGAACCTAGGATAACCCAAAAAAGTCAGACAGAGTGACTTATTTCCATTAGGAGAGACCTAGTATTAACCCTTGTTTTCATGGGTTGAGCAAATGTTTGAATCCTTGTGTTTAAGTAGTTTCTGGTAACTGTGGGATGACTCCTGTGTCAAGACTTCTCAGAAGAATTTTTAAGACACGCAATAGTTATTTCTCGCGGTTCTTGACGAACACAGAATTCGAAATGTCTGGGTCTGGTGCCGAGTTCAGACGAATCTAAGTGATTCGAGTTACGTCAGAGGTAATAGAAATGTTGAGAGAATTTTGAATCTCATTCATAAATAACTCACGTGGATTGTCAATCTTTTACTTAATTTTTGGTTCACTGAACAGTGAGTCGTATTCTAATTTCAGTATTTCGCTAGTTTCTTTGTTATCGTCAGAGTAAGTTCCATCTTCCTTAAGCAATGGAGATGTGATTTTTACCCTGTTTTTTGCATATGAATGAAAAAGGATTTTGGAGAGACAGAGGACCTTTTGTCCCCTGTCTCAGTCTGATGCATTCATTTCGAGGTCAGTGTTTTTCCAGCTCTGTGACCAGTGTCACCTCGTTCTTCAGACACTGTAAAGCTTTGAAAAAAACTGTGATTCTTCATCTTCGCCTACAGAGGGAACTCTTCTGTCTAATGTCTCTCTTCTTCTCGTACCGTTGAGCTCATCCTTTTGAGATGTTGGTTGAAATTCATGTTAATCATAGTATCTTCCCAACGTAATTCAACAGGTGTCATGGTGCATTTGATCCCAGTTCACGTTTTATTGTTTAAGTTGAATTTGTTGTATACAGCTTCATGACTGTGTTTTGTTACTCAAGACCATTGTGTATGCAAGTCACAACTTCATTTGGTCGAGATATGAGTTTGATGTGTTCGACACTATTACATTCCGCACCAGATGATTATTTGTGAACATGAGGTCAAGAATATTTTCAAATCGGATCTAGTCTGCTATTTCCTGGTTTAAGGAGAATTTATTGCGGAATCCTAATACCTCAATTTTTTTAAAACTATTCATATGAACTGTCTCCTAGGATCTTCTATGCTATTGTAGTATTTACTATATTCTTAGATGTCTAAGTCAATAATGAACTAGGTGTCAGCGGCTGAATTTGAGAGAATTTCCATACGGAGTTAAATTTTCAATATCTGGTATTTTAAGTGCAGGTAAGCTGTGTGTGATGGTTAATATACAAGTGGAATATACAAATTTCTCATATTCAGTCTTTGCTGCCGATACTTCGACTTCATCTTTTGTGGTGTTAATTCAGTGCAAATGAATGATTCTTGAAGAAACAGATTAACTCTTCCCTGTAACCTTTCATCTGCAGTTAAATAGCTTATATCCTAGTGTGCATATTTCGCAGTTAAAGTAATCTTTTATGTGGGTCTCTGTAAAATTTGAAAATATTACATTTGACTCGGTGAGGATTCCACTAAACTTTTTTTTTCTGTTACATAATTTAAGACCTGGAATGTTTGCAAACATAATGTTATATTAATTGTTGTTGAGTTGGGGCTCTTTTGTTAGTCTTAGTATTTACAGTCCTAATGAGCCTAACACTGACTTTGTTGCCAGCTCAAAACAGCTCTGATGTGATCTTAATACTACTGATTGCGAAAAGGATTTAGGAGTTCTGGTTAGCAGTAATTTAAAACCAAGACAACAGTGCATTAATGTTCGCAATAAAGCTAACAGAATTCTTGGCTTCATATCTAGAAGTATAAATAATAGAAGTCCTCAGGTTGTTCTTCAACTCTATATATCCTTGGTTAGGCCTTATTTAGACTATGCTGCTCAGTTCTGGTCACCGTATTAAAGAATGGATATAAATGCACTGGAAAACGTACAGAGGAGGATGACAAAGATGATCCCATGTATTAGAAATCTTCCCTATGAGGATAGACCGAGGCCCTGAATCTGCACTCTCTCGAAAGGGGTAGCATTAGGGGGGATATGATCGAGGTGTATAAATGGAAAACAGGAATAAATAAAGGGGATGTTTGTAGATGAATGGTTCAGAGAACCGACATGTTGATAAATTAGACACATGTGCAACTCTTGGGTATCTTTATTGATTTATTTTATTTATTTATTTATTTAAAGATACCCAAGAGTTGCACATGTGTCTTAATTTATCAAAGGGGATGTAAATAGCATCCTGAAAATTTCCAGCCAAGACAAGACTCGCAGCAATGGTTTCAAGTTGGAAAAATTCAGATTGACGAAGGATATAGGAAAGTACTGGTTTGGTAATAGAGTTGTGGATGAGTGGAACAAACTCCCGAGTACAGTTATTCAGGTTAAAACGTTGTGTAGTTTTAAAAATAGGTTAGATAAATACATGAGTGGGTGTGGGTGGGTGTGAGTTGGACTTGACTAGCTTGTGCTACTGGGTCTGGTGCAGTGCTCCATCCTTGAGTGGAGGTGACCAGACTGGGTGGGTCATTGGGCTAATCCGGGGGGGGGGGATGACATGGACCTGCTCCGCATGGGTCAGTAGACCTGTTGCGGTGTCCCTTCTTTCTTATGTTATGTTCTTATGTATTCTTATCATTACTTGCTATTGTTTTTCTCCTGACGCCAAAAATCTCTGCAGGTTGTGTAATTGTGTTTAAATGGCATTCAAGTGGTTTTACTCACCTCGTTTTCCTTCAAATGGGATGCTGCAGGACGATCTGAATCACGATACTGCTTATTTACTGAACTATAGTACAATCTGGGGTTAAAATACTTGCAGAACTTGGAATGGGAAACGCTTTTGTTTAGAATATTTCGATATTTCTTTAGATGTTCGTACTGGCGGGTTAGGTTTCTATTACCAGTCGCCCACAGTTGCCGTGTTCCTTCCTTAAGTGAATGTGACCTGACCTGACTAGGTTGGGGCATTGGCTTGAGCCGGTAGGAGACTTGGACCTGCCTCGCATGGGCCAGTAGGCCTGCTGCAGTGTTCCTTCTTTATATTCTTATATCCGCAAACAGCCCATGCATGGTGCCAACACAGTGGCACTTCCAGTTGGCAGCGATTTTATAAAGGTTTGGGTTGACTATTTCATTTCTATTATTTCAAAGTGATTCGGCTGTTCTTGGATTAATACCAGTTTTTGGGGTAGTGGGCATTGTTGTTTACATAATTTCTTTCTTCATCTGTGTTCCCAGTTATATCAAGATTTTGTTTGCATCTTGTTCATCCCTGTTCTGTAGAAGTTACTCGTTTGGATGCATGGTTCCCATTTTCTATGTCAGTTTGATTTTGGTTAGGTTAGGTTAGGTAAGGTTCGTCAGGAAACAGAACAAATGTTTCCTGACGCGGGTCTTAGATGATGACCCGCCTTTGGAGCTTTTGGTCATCTGACCGAGGCCTTCCGCTGGCTTACCGGTCTATCAGTTTTATACATTTGTGTGTGTGCAATGTAAAAAATTTCCCAGATTAACGAGTCCAGATACAACTGGGTTTTTACTTAGAGATGTCAGCCAATATGTCTGTAATCTTGACGAATACATCTCTATCTGTATCACATACTCAGTAGATAGACTGGTTTGCTGACAATTCTTTGTCTCCCCGAGATAAATCAATACATTCTGGATGTGACACATCTTTGCATGTCTGACAAGTCACACATCTGGAGTACAACACCTGGCTTTAACAAAACGTGCAATTCTGGTCAATATTCTTAGGTGTAAAGATAATTGTCACTCACAAAGGTGAGACGGCGGACAAAAACACACAAAGCTGGGACAATTAAGCGCATATAGAGCTAGAACAACCAGTCAGACTCAGACCTGGGACAATTAATCACACAGATCTGAGACATTTACATACAGAGAAATGAGACATTTACGTACACAGAGCTGACATACAAAGGTCTAATACCTGTGATATGCCTATGACCGATTTCAAGGGTTCCTGTACCCTCGCAGCCCGGTCTGAGGCCAGGCTTTTTCGGTGATTGTTTGATCAGCAGGCTCTTGCTGCTAGCAGCCTACAGGAGTGTATATCCATCACAGCCTGACTGATCTATCACCTGGACGAAGCAGTAGTCCAGTTTTCTCCCGACAACTTCTCCCTTTGTTCCGGGCAATATTTCTGACATCTTGGACTACGGATGTTGACATATTGCTTCCTTATTATGCCCATGGCACCCCTCTTTCTCACTAGTTTTATTCTATGCTTCTTGCTGTCTCTCTTTGTCCGATAAGTTATGGCAGTGTATAGATCTGAGATCTGGCTCTCGGGTATTTTCCGTTCATCATTAGCAACGATACAATAGAAGCCGAGTTATTCACCGGTAAAACGATGTAATCTTCCCCGTCCTGACATTTTTCTGGGTTTTGATACACTGGCCTTATAATGTTATCTACACAGTAGAGCTGACTTTTACATTTAACCATAAACAAAGATGGGGCATTTAAGCATACATATGTAGAATACTTAACACGGAAGAGGCACATTTAAATGCACAGAAGAGAAACATTTCATCTCTCAGAAGTGGCACATTTAAACACTCATAGAAAGGAAACACACACACAAGCAGAACATTTTAACGCACAGATGTAAAACATTTAAAAACACAATGGAAGGACATTTAAAAACACACAGTGAAATTACATTTAAACACGCTGCAGTGGAACATTTAACCTCTCCTAGAGGAGGAACATTTAAACACACACACACAGAAGTGAAACATTTAAACACAGTGCATTAGGAAACCCCTGAAAAATAACATGAAACAGACGGCACTTGAGAGAGTAATGAAAAGCCTTTTTACTTACGGGTCTCTGAGGACGTAGTGAGAAATGGAGTCCATCTGCTGATTCAAGATCTCCATTCCCAGGAGACCGGTGCCTCCGCCTGCCTCTGTGACACGCTTAACCTCTGTGACCTCTGTTGGCAGGGGCTGCGAGGTCACAGAGAGGCTAGGGGTCACGTTTGAGGACACAACGGGGTCACCCAGGGCTGCGGTAGCGGTGAAGGTGAGGCACACCAACACCAGCAGGGCCATCATTCGACTCCCGTTCGATCTAAATACCAGCATCAGTTCAACCTCTGGGAAGCGAGAGATGGATTATGTTAGCGAATAGATATATATATACTAGCGTGTTGCTGGCAATAGATAGGGGGAAGTGGAAGCGGAAGGTGGTAGAGGGGAGGAATATAAGGTTTGTAGGGAAAAGTAGAAGGGTAAAGGGAAAAAAAGGTAAATGGTGGGCCTTTTCATTAAATAAAATCGGTAGTTATATATGGTTGTTATATATGTTTGTCCACTTTTCCAATTATCTATTCTGCATGCAGTTTGTCCCCCTTTATACTTTTGTTACACTTGTCGAAGACTTTCGCAAAGTCAGTGGACATGTTTCCTTGCACTTACCGTCCCTATTCTCCTAGAGGGAAGTAGGTTTCTGAGTATTAGGTGAGTGATGTGGGTCGCATCCTGACTGGTGTGGGTCGCATCCTGACTGGTGTGGGTCGCATCCTGACTGGTGTGGGTCGCATCCTGACTGGTGTGGGTCGCATCCTGACTGGTGTGGGTCGCATCCTGACTGGTGTGGGTCGCATCCTGATAACATCCTGATTACATTGCGTTATGTTAGGTAAAACACACATACAACAGTTAGGTATCTAACTGTTGTATATGCGTCTTATCTAACAACCTGTCGGTATTTTATACCTTTTTAATGTATTATCTTAGGTTATTAACTCTTCACGTTAATAGCCCAAACAAAATCTTTTTCTTTTTACGTAATTATCATAATTAACATCATCAGTACCTGACCAGCCGGGCTGTGGTTCGTACGTCAGAGTGCGGCCAGCAGTAACAGCCTAGTTGATCAGACCCTGATCCACCACGAGGCCTGGTCTCAGACCGAGCCGCGGGAGCGTTGACCGCCGAAACCCTTTCCAGGTATACCCCAGGTCCACTAAAGGCCTCACATACACGGTGTACAGGGTCCTGAACGATTCCTTATTGAGATATCCGAATGCTATCCTTAGTTTTGCTAGGCGCCCATATGCTGAAGCAGTTATTAGGTTAATGTGCCTCATGAGATGTGCCCGGTGTTATACTCACCCCAAGATCCTTTTTCTTGAGTGAGATTTGTAGTCTCTGGTCCCCTAGACTGTACTCCGTCTCCGGTTTTCTTTGCCCTTCCCCAATCTTCATGACTTTGCACTTGATGATGTTGAACTCCAGGAGCCACTTTCCGGACCAGGTCTGCAGCTTGTCCAGAATCCTTTGTAGTTCCGCCTGGTTCTCGTCCGACTGAGTTCCTCTCATCAACTTCACATCTGCAAACAGGGACACTTTTGGGTCTGCTCCTTCCGTCATGTCGTTCACATACCAGAAGCAGCACCGGTCCTAGGACTCTGTGTGTGTGTGTAGACAGCAGAGAATCCTCAAATCAAAGTCATAAACACGGATGATTCTTAATTATACTCATAGTAAAGCACTAAACCCTTTAGGTTTATAAAACACTAGGGAAATAGTGTCCGGATTTGATGGAAGAAAGGGGAGTGTGGCTCCAGATCTTTTTGTCACAAGTCATTCTTCATGGTAGTCACGTAATAAGGCATAAATGAAGAAAATAAACAAACCAATGTGCATTCAACATTAAACATTTTTTTTTTTAAGAAACTATTGACAACCAAACACACGTAGATGCTTTTACGATCATCTTTACTTTCCGGTCCAGACCAGGCCTCCCTCTTGACAGCTTGATCAACTAGACTTTTGTGCTCCTCTGAATGCCTTCATAAAACTCACACTTGAATTAAACATTGTCAAATACTCTGGCTATATTAATCGTTGTAAAACAACAGATAATTTACTAACAATTCCAAAAATGTATTTGGGAAGCACCTAAAGATCACAAGGGAAATCTAACATAAAACAGAAAAAGTGTTTTTTTTTTAAAGAGTTTTTCCTACCCTCGTAGCCTGCTCTAGGACTAGGTTTCTCTGTTGCTTTACTACACAAAATACCCTCAAGAATTCAGCGGAAAATTCTGATGTAGCTGTTCATACTGAATAAGAGAAAAATTATATAATCACTGATGAATATAAGGACAGTACACCAGTCATCACACTAAATTTAGGGGAGTGGCTGCCCCAGTCTTGGTATAATTTCAGAACCAAATGATGGATACCTTAAACAACAGCCAACGGTAAATCGTAGTGTGTCAGGGTTTCCAGAGTTTCTATATTCTGCAGCCAGATCTTGGTCCAGGATTGTCTAGTGCTTGCCTTGTCAACTAGACTCTTGCTGCTGGCGCCCGCTAGCCCCCATGGTCATTACAACCTGCTGATGCGTATGGTCTGGGAAAATCAATAATTTAGATTTGATCACTCCAAAAAATGGAGTTATCTTATAATTAAAGAATTAAGTCGTTCCACTTCCTGCAAACAGTTTGTCCAAAATATCTGTTATACATCAATAAACAAGAAACAATGCAATAACTCCAACTGCTAAAAAATAACAATTAAAAGAAAGCAGGAGCGCCAAGCCAAGACGGCATCAAATTAACCATTTTATTCACAAAATATTCATGAATTTCGGAGCCAAGTTGCATTAGGAACTAAGCCAGTGGTTGTCTCATCAGAGTTATGGATAGTTAAGTCATCAACAAAAATCCAGCAAATATTTTTGTTAAATTAGACACATGTGCAACTTTTGGGTCTTTTTATTAAGGAAACGTTTCGCCACACAGTGGCTTCATCAGCCCATGCAAAGGACAAACTTGAAGAACAGGAGGAGAATGAGGTAATCAGTCCCTCAACCTTGAGACGATGTGGTCAGTCCATCAATCTTGAATAGAATAATAGAATATTTTTGCAAACAAATAATGTCTTCAACTAAGCATGGAACGGTTTCTAAGAAGCAAGAGTGCTCATCACACGAGGGGTTTCTAGTAGCAGTTTTTCTTTGTTATTGGTTTTAAAGCTATTTTTTCTCCTGTTTAACAGTTTTGCAGAGGGAAGGATGAAAGAGGGAAGGAGGGAAGATGGTGGTAAACTGGGAGTTAGGAAGTAAGGGAGGGAAGGAAAACTGAGGGAACGTCGCACGTAGACAGGGTGGTAGGGAGAAGAAGAGAGAGTAATAAGAAGGGAGGCAGTAGAGGTGGCAGGATAGGTTAGAAGTGGTAGGGGGTTAAAGACTAGGAGGGAGGGTAATAAGGAGGGAGGAAAGTGGGAGGGGGGGAGGGAGAGCATCAGTAAGAAGGAACCTATTACCAGCCCTTCTGTGTCCATCTTTCTTTTCCATTGTTCTCTCTCCCCAGTTGTTCCCTCTTCTTTGTTTGTGCTAATCAATGAGGAAAGAAGAGTAAGAAGTTGGAAAATAAACAGGGAAGAAAGAGAAGATAGGAACAAGAAGAAAGAAGAGGAAAAGGAGGAAGACGGAGGAGAAGAAGGAAGAGTAGAGGGTTCTCATTTGTCTTGCTCTGACCTTCTTTCATTATCATTCCCTCTCATTTATTTCGTTCATTCCTCTAGTATATTAATTAACTCCATAACTTTCTCTTGCTCATTTTTGCTGCTATTTACATCCATTTATCTGTCTGTATCTCTTTACACAGCATTATTTACTAGCTAAGAGGTATTAAACCCCTCTTCCCTTCTCTCTCTCTTTCTCTCTCTTTCTCTTTCTCTTTCTCTCTCTTTCTCTCTTTCTCTCTCTCTTTCTCTCTCTCTTTCTTTCTCTTTCTCTCTTTCTCTTTTTCTCTCTTTCTCTCTTTCTCTTTCTCTTTTTCTCTCTTTCTCTTTCTCTTTTTCTCTCTTTCTCTCTTTCTCTCTCTCTTTTTCTCTCTTTCTCTCTCTCTCTTTCTCTCTCTCTCTCTCTCTCTCTCTCTCTCTCTCTCTCTCTCTCTGGGCAACGTTATGTTTTAACTAGAGTTTTTCAAGTCAACATTTAGAGCTTAGAAAGAAAATGTTTTGTATCAACAACAGGAGAGGAGGATCCGTCTCCAAGGACTGAAAATTAAGAGTATAAAATTAAGAGAGAATCTCGCCATATTATGAAAGTTACAAATTATGTTGAAAGTATTCAGGACTCGAACCAGCGATCTTAAGATTACAAGTCGACAGTCATACCGACTCAGCTACCGAGTGAATAACAGACTTCATGTTGGTAGCCTTAACTACTGGTCAACCACTTTTATATAGAAATCTCGACACCACACAATTGAGTGATTTATATCTTGTGCTAAACCAGTGTGGGTCGCAAAGGTGAAGGCTCAAGCCTTCGTCATTAATATGAGGAGATACGCTGCCTTCTAGCTTGGTTCATATATTTCGCACCAACATATATGTGATAAATGGAGAGATATAACAAAACACATCCTTTGTAACACGATTTTCAAGACCCATTTTTAAACAATCCACCACATTTCCTTTTAATTTTCCATTCGGTCTTTACCTTCTATGTTTTTATTGCAATTCAATTTTCCATCTACTTTTAAAAGAGTCGTCCACTGATTCCTGTCTTTCCATCTTTTGAAACCATTCAGTCTTTCTTTTTCTAAAACCTTCCAGTCTTCCCATTTTCAGAACCTTCTGTTTTGCATTCTCCATCTTTCTAACAACTCAGTATTTCCATCTTCTTATTTTGTCTTATTTTTCTTCAAAACTTACCTATCTTCACCAGTCCAGCCTATATGTTAATCAACCAGTTTTTCTCTCTCATTTTCTTTTAAACATTCAGTGATGTTTATTAAACCAGTCTTTCTAAACCTTTCATACGTATTCAGCTTTTTTTTCCTTCGTTGGCAACTATCTGCTCTCTTCTTCTCTCTGTTCAAACTCTCAGCTCTTTCATGTAAACATATGAAAACGTTATTTTCATATATTTACGTCTGTGGCTAACACCTGAATGACCTGGTATTAATCCTGAAGCGAGTGGAGACGTTAAGCATAATTCCTTACATTAACTGCCTCTGTTCACCTGCCAGTAGGTAGGTAGGTAAGTAGGTACCTGGATCCTAGCCAATTGTACCAAGCTGCATCACACTGAAGGGAACTAAGGATTTCTTAGGTTATCCTGGACTACTAACCCT